CCAGTTCGCATGAACCACCCACTGAGGCGATATCCACAGGCCTGACAGCCAGCTCCACTGTTATGACATGTCTTCTCTCCCCTACTGTCCGGTCCAGCGTGTCTGCACCAAATTCATAAAAAGAATTTGACGGCTGCTGCGCGAAGCTGACGAAAACTGTTCCTCCAAATGTAACAAGTGAAAAGTGTTTGTACCTGAAGCCGAAGCCTCGTGGAGAATTGTCTCTCTGTAAGCAACCTGCAGCGGCCCGAGGTGAGTCTCAATGCCGTGCTCTCTTCTGATTCGATCGTGGATGATCTCGATGTGCAGCTCTCCCATTCCGCATAAAATGGTCTGAGAACGGAGAGCGAAGGTGGTTTCGGTGACTCATTCTAGCACTGGACAAAGAAAGTCCCGGCTAATCCGATGCATTACCTGACCAGAGTCTGGATCAACTCGGACTTTGAGACTGGGGTCTTCTCTTTGGAGGCAGTTGAGCACATTTTCAAGATCTTTCATGGTAAAAACAAATAAATTAATAAGTGAGTGAGCACAGTTGGTGAAGCACAGCTACACACTTTGCACATAATCGCCTCAAATAACTGACCGGCCTGTTTGGACATAGATGGCGGTTCTATGGTGCAGAAGAAGACGGGATCAGGGACTTCCACTCCTGACAGGATCACGCTGGCACACTCTCTGCTCCTCTTTCCCGCCTCGCTGTCATTTTGGGCTCGACGGGCCGCGGCTGCTGCTGACGCCTTCGATGACACAATAGTGTCTCCTGTAACTGTCTTAAATGAAAGGAGAAACCATAAGGAACATTTTATGGTGGGGGGGGGGGATCTTAATTTAAGCAAATATTGGAAATTTAGAGAAGCTCTACCTGCTTGAGTCCCACAGTAAGAGCAATATTTCCCGCTGTCATCGAAGGGATTTCTACATGCTGGTCAGCAAATGGCACCAGCAGCCTGCTCATCCTCTCACTGCAAATATACAAGATTGGACATGCTGTGTTGTAATAATGACTCTGTGATGGAGTACGTCTGTGAAAGTGTGTTACACTGCAGCTGCTGTGGAGATCAGAGGTTCGAAACTGCATACGTGCTGTTCCTGTTGATGTTGTGGAGCGCTGTCTGTGGTTTCAGAGTACCAGAGTAGATCCTGAGAAACACCAGAGGGCCGCGCTGCTTGTCGTGGAGAACCTTGAAGGCCAGTGCACACAGGTCGTCTTTGTACCACCGCCTGTGAGATGATAATGAACAGGGCTTAAGGGCCTCCGTGTATCAGTCTTGTTTGTCCAGCACATCCCACAGCCGCTCGATTGAATTTTCAGAATTTGGAGGCCAAGTCAACCATTCCTGATGCTAACATGACCATTGTTGGCCCTTTCAGAGGTTGACAGAGGTGAGCATGGAAAACCTGACGGGTCTGCGATTACGGACCCCCATATGCAACAAACTGGGACACACGTTGTATTCTGACACCTCTCTTTCACCTTTCTACTGACCGCTGCAACTCGGGAACACCCCACAAGAGCTGCAGTTTAGGAGATGCTCTGACACAGTCACAATTTTGCCTTTGTCAGTCTCGCTCAAATCCGTCCGCTCTCCCATTTTTCCTGCTTCTAACGCATCAACTCTGAGAGCAAAATGTTCACTTGCTGCCTAATATGTCCCACCAGCTAACAGAAGCCATGACGAAGAGATAATCAGTGCTATTCACAGCATCAACACCAAGCATTCTCTGTAGTGAGGTTCAGTTGTAATCTAGTCAACAGATAAAGAAACAATCATTTCAGTTACAATTAATAATATCAAATTGAAAAAAAAAAAACAAAAAAAACCCAATCCTACCAGCCTAATCTGATCTAAACCAGAGCAATGTGATCTAAAATGATAAGAACGGTAAAAAACATACTTAACTTGGTGTTATAACAGGTCTAGTCTAAGTTAGCAGTAAGCTGAAAGGTTCACTTACACTACATCATGGTGTCGTTCATTAGGAGCAGGCAGGTAGGCAGTGATGGCATCTAAAAGAGGCTGAACACCTTTGTTTCTCAAAGAGCTCCCACAGAGGACCGGTACACCTTTACGGGCCAGAGTAACTCGCCGCACGGCTTCTTGAAGCTGGAGACGTGTTCGACACTGATCAGTCTATATTCACAAGAACTAACAGCAGCACTGATGTACCTTAAAAGGTCATATTGGGGCACTACAGTTTGCAAGACTTACTTTATTAGAGGGAATGGCATCGAAATTCTCGCTAAAATCGGTTAGCAACAGTTCTGCAAACTCATCGTCCAGATCAGCGACCTGTGATTTGAGAAAAGACGTGTAAACTGGAAGAAAAAAATCGGAGGCACCTTAAGTAATGCTGGAAAACGTTACTCCAATCTGATCGTGTACCTGCTCAATTAAAGCTGTCCTTGCATCGCTGACCACCTGCAGGAGGTCTGGATCATCAGACCGGTCAAGAGCTTTGACTTCAAACACTCTGCCATCATCTCTCATAGATTTCATCTTCCACATCAGCTTCTGGCTGGTTAACAAGTCAACAACACCTGTGAAGTTCTTTCCACTGCCAACAGGAATCTATGACACAGGGGTTTATAGACTGTGAAATATCGCTGCTGTGTTGTATTGTTGTACTAAAAGACACTCTGTTCAGTTCATCCAGTAAGTACATTTTGTTTTAAACCTGTTTTTGTGCTAGCCAAGTTTAGGATCACATTTAATATCCTAGGCGTTCATGCACACTGGTGCAGTGTTAAAACTGTGAAATGTAATATATATATATATATATATACATACACACACATGTAGTGTAGATGCCAGTTGAGGCTGGAGACTCAAAACTATGTGTAAATAAAATTGGCAAAATAAAACAGAAAAACTTTTCAGGAACGTAAAGAGCTGTTGACAATTTCTGATGACCTACCTGCAAGAGGACTGGATTGGCTTTCAATTTCTGCCTTATGCTCTCAATGCAGAAACTCAAGCTGACAGAAAACAAAATGAAAGAGTCTCTATTTTAACACTGCAACAGAAAAGTAAAACAAAACTTGCATTAAATGGGAAAACTTAAACTGAGTCCCTCACTTCGCTGCAGGCTTGTCCATCTTATTGAGGAAACAAACACAGGGGATGTGGTGCTTCTCTGCTTGTCTCCACACGGTCAGAGTCTGAGCCTGTTGGCGTTTTCAAAGAAAAAAACCCCCCACAATGATCAGAGCCTGAAACCAATTTTTTAATGAAAAAAAGGTGTTTGGAAAAGGGGAAATAACCTCAACGCCAGCCGACGCGTCAAACACCGCCACAGCCCCATCAAGCACACGAAGTGCCCGTTCCACCTCAAGCGTGAAGTCAACGTGTCCTGTAGTGACGCAGTCATTCAGTCATTTTTTAAATTTCTACAAGAAATTGCCTTATTTCTTTATTCTTACCTGGTGTGTCTATGAGATTTATTCTATGACTTTTCCAGTCAAAGGTTACTGCTGCTGACTGTATGGTGATGCCACGCTCTCGCTCTTGGGCCATAAAATCTGTCACTGTATCCCCATCGTCAACATCTAAAAACAACAGTGACATGAAATCAAATTGTTTAAAAAAAACATTTTAAAAAAAGAATCAGAGTCAGGTTTGGATAATTAAGAATTTGCATCACTGCTGCATGCTGTTTTCCTGCACACCTCCCAATGCCCTTGTGTAACCGGCGTAGTAAAGCATTCTCTCTGTGGTTGTCGTCTTGCCTGCATCGATGTGGGCCATGATGCCGATGTTTCGGATTCTGTAGACACACGAATTGATGGGACTCTAAGAACACAGCAGAATCTGCCGGGTACTTTTTAATGCAGATGCAGAATGCAATTAAATTACTCACCTGGATATTTCAGGGTTGACGAGAGCCCGTAATGATTTGACATCATCTATGACAGGAACAGGAAGCACAATTATGAGGATTTCACTGCTGCCACATTAAAGTCTATCACTGACTAGTTTATCTGCAACTGACTGTTGTTGACTGTTGTATTACAGGAAAGAACAGCAAAGGCCTAGTTCGCTTTCTATTGATATCTTTACAAACGCACACCCAAGATTTCTGAACCAGTTGTTTTTTTCACATTCTGCAAAATAATTTAATTTATTTAAGAAGGTCTCAAACTGGTTTTAAATGCAGAGCAGTAATTAAGTTTAACAATCGCAAACTAAAACACACACAATGACAGGTGTTTGTACTTCATATGAAAATATATCTTAAATATAACACGAATCTTCACCTAACCAATGAATCCAATAAGAGAACTTACCTGGAAGAAGGCTGTAATGTCTCTTTACGTGACAGCTTAGTCTACATCTGCAGCACTGCAGCCCCGCAGCGAATAAACGCCTCCCCTGTGGACCAAAACCAGGTTATCAAATCATAAGAGTTCATATATCTAATCACTGGCAGTACTGATTTTTTGGGGGGGGTGGGAAAAAATTATGTCTCACCCGAATCATCCTGCTAAAGGTCTGCAATCCCCTGAGAGACATTTTTAATATCTGCTTATTATCCGAGCTGCCTTTTCTTCAGAGTCAGAGAAGACTTGAGCCATACTGGAGGAACATTAGACAGAAGAGGACTGAACGAAGCAATGTCAGCCGACTCTTTACGGATGCAGCACAACATTTAAAACAGGAGAGCCGGGAAGACTGTAGTTCTAATCAGCCGATTATTGAAAATTACCCAAAACCGAAAGAAGCCCTACATAAATGGAAAAACCTCTCAAAACATTCACGCTTGGTACACGTCAAAATGCATCCCCGGAACACCTTAGAGGTCATAACATAGTTCCGGCTATGAAATCAATTCCGTTTCCGTCCATATTTGCGGCTGTAGCTCATTTTATATACTTTTATAAATTACAATAGCGGTTTTGTAAGTTTTTCTATTCGCAGCGTGTACAGTAAACTTTATCCGTCCGTGTGTTACATTAAACTGAGGCCGGTCAGTTGAAACGAACGGACAAGTGGTTACAGAACGATGACGTCCTTCCTCTAAGTATCGGCTCCGGGGAAAACAACATCAGAAGGACCCCAGCCTGAAGCAAAAAAACACCGAAACTTTGCGTCTTTACCAACTGTTAGTTTCTACGACACGCTTATCGTAACACGTAACTCCGCGCACACAAAATGGTAAGAAATCAAATCGTTTAAAATACACTAATTGGCTTTTATCAGGGAGTTTAACGCGTTAGCATGTCGTGCTAGCGTTAGCTTTGGATTACATGTGGCTGAGTGACGCGCTCCGCTGCTCTGAACAGCACTGTGATTCTTACCGTGTCAAAACATTTTGATACTACTTAACCGAGTGCATTATATTCCCTCTAATGTTAAAATTAAGAATATTTTCGGGTATTTATCTGTGGAAGAGCTATGTTAGGTGAAGCTAAAGGACATTTCGCTCTGCTTTTGTAGAGCTTTTATATTTTAGACAGTGAAGCTGACTGAAGTTCATTTGAACTGTCATACCTCTTATGCGTTTCTGTGTTGAAATAATCTCCCCTTGTCTTTTTACATCTGGACAAACCTGCCTGTTTTGTGTAAAACAAATTCATAATTTAGCCTTTAATGAGTAAACGTTACATGTAAACAATCAGTTACAAGTGTTTTGTCTTTCTGTTTTTTTACCCTTCTGGCCCTTTTCTTTGATATAATATTTGATGAACATATTTCATTAAATTTCAAGTAGATCTAAGCTTCTTAATGTAAATTAAATAACTTCACAGCCCAACGTAGTGTTTTGGAGGTTTAAGTTAAATGAAACTTTTGTGTTGTGATGAAACCATTAAGGTTTGAATTTTTGTTGGCATTTCTGTTTCTGCCATCTGAACAAGTGCTGTCAAAGAGTCAGCTGTTTACAACTTATTTAAATCATGAATTTTGAATCAGAAAAATATTGTTGCCCTCCATGATCAGAGGTGTGTGGGACAACATCTCCAGCCTGCTACCCTTTAATAAGAATCTGTGAAAACACACACTCATTTTGACAATATGTGCTGACCTATTTATTTTTGTTGTTGCTTTGTTGCTAACCTTGTGCTTTCTACATCTCATTTTTGGTGGGGTGGTTCAGAGAGCTGTAGAAATACCACCAGACTGATCTGAATTCATTGAGAAACTCGTATAGCTCAGCAGTAAATTCAGATGTGCCTGCTTCACAGCCTCTGGTACTCTTTATAGATTTTTATTATTTTTTTTAGAATTAGACGGTTGTGGAGTTAAATCACTGAACAGGCTGTTATCAGTAGTGCTGGAGCTACGGTGTGCTTAATCCTGTGCAGTAGATTTTACTTGAAATTGCAAAGAGAAGCCATGCTCTTATTATATGTTTTAATTGGGTTCAATTGATTTTCATGATTGTTTTGTTTCTCTTGTAGCCCCAGAACGAGCACATTGAGTTACACCGCAAGCGGCACGGCTACCGTTTGGATCACCATGAAAGGAAAAGGAAGAAGGAGAGCCGTGAGGCCCACGAGCGGTCTCACAAAGCCAAGAAGATGATAGGTTTGAAGGCCAAACTGTACCACAAACAGAGACATGCAGAGAAGATCCAGATGAAGAAGACGTGAGTTTAAAAAAAAAAGAAAGTCAAATACAAAACACAAAAATACAACTTCCATAAACATCCAAATATCTAATGTGTCTTTGCAGCATCAAAATGCACGAACAGAGAAAGACGAAGCAGAAGAACGATGATAAGACCCCCGAGGGAGCAGTGCCAGCCTACCTGCTGGACAGAGAGGGACAGTCTCGTGCCAAAGTTCTCTCCAACATGATCAAACAGAAGAGGAAAGAGAAGGCCGTAAGTGTCGGCAAATATCTGCTCATCAGCTGCAGCTTTTCTAGTTTGTTTTTTCAGGGCCATCTTTCATTTTGCGATGTGTGATGTGTGGAAATATTGTCACTTTTTGTAAACTCCACCTTGATTTATTTCTGTAGGGCAAATGGGAAGTGCCTCTGCCCAAGGTGCGCGCACAAGGAGAGACAGAGGTGCTTAAAGTTATCAGAACCGGAAAGAGACAAAAGAAAGCCTGGAAGAGGATGGTCACAAAAGTTTGCTTTGTGGGCGACGGCTTTACCCGTAAACCTCCAAAGTATGAACGTTTCATCAGACCGACGGTAAGATGGAAGCAGATGACAGACTGAAATGTTTGCACGCGTTACACGTTATATTCTGCACTTGAAATTATCGGAAACACCTTTCTTTCACATGCTCATTGTTTATTGCCATTTTTCTGTTCTGTTTTCAGGGTTTGAGATTTAAGAAGGCTCACGTCACACACCCAGAGCTGAAAGCAACATTCTGTCTTCCGATCCTGGGAGTGAAGAAGAACCCTTCCTCACCCCTCTACACCTCTCTAGGAGTCATCACAAAAGGAACAGTTATAGAAGTCAATGTCAGTGAGCTGGGCCTGGTAACACAAGGAGGAAAAGTTATCTGGGGTGAGTCTTTAAACTCAGCTCATTTACATGTGCTGCAACAGTCCGATCACTCACCAGTCTTTGTAAATGATGACAAAATATCAGTGTTGACAAATGGTTACATATTCTTGGATGAGTGCAGCGGTGTGTATATTTACTGTATTTCAGGCTACAAATGCTAAATATTTAAATGTCATCTATTTCACTCCTTAGGTAAATATGCTCAGGTGACAAATAACCCAGAGAACGACGGCTGCATTAATGCAGTTCTGCTGGTATAAGACTTTGGACCTGCCTTCTGACCGTGCCTGGTAGCTGTTGTGTATCCACCTAAATTTGCAACAAGCAATGAAATCTGCAGACTCATGAAGATTTTGGTGCTGAGCTTGGTAACATTGTTTGTAACAAAAAGGACACTCTGAGGGGAAAAAGTGTGGCAATTACTGTGTTAAATTTAATAAATAAACTTGAAATGACACCAGATCCTTCTTGACTCTTGCATACTTGTGTGCACACATATGAAAAATAGTAAAGTAGTAATGATGTTTTCCACTGCGTAAACAGGGATACTGGTTGTTGCTGATAATATTGAGGGTTCAGATACTGTGTTCAACAAAGGAGGACTGTGTGGGATCCTGACGGGCTGTTACATAAAGCCAGATCACAGCTATAATCAGACATATGAGTGCTATGTGTTCATGACGCTTTAACGTCGTACAAACTGCTTAGTTTACAGCAGTGTATGGTAGATAATAATTAAGCACTAGCAACAGGATCCCTTTGCTGCTGAAAAGCATCATAGAAACATGAGGACGTCCTTCTTTTGCATTAACATGTCTTTTGTCCTCATATTGAGAGCTCCAGCTAGAAGATACCAAATGCAAATTCAGTGTATAGAATCAATTCCATAAATATCAAACAAAGGGACAGGCTTTACCGGAATATGAAACTGCCTGTCAGTCAGTTGTCCAGTTGCTTTTGGGCCTCTGGAAATGAGAGACCTTGTAGAAAAATGGCTGAAATTCTAGAACAGCAATACTTCTGTAAAATCCCTTGAATTTAAGTTAAAGGCGACTGATTTACAAACCTGTTGTGGTGGTGTAGAGACTGAGATAAGAACCCAAAATTGTATTTTGAGAATAAAGTTGTTTGACTTTAACACTGTTCATCTCCACATTTCAACTTTATTCTCAGATAAATCAAACTATACTGTTTTATCCTGAAATAAAATGCCCATAAATAAAGATTAATTTCAAAACTCACTATTAGTCTGTCTCTAGTACACGAAATGGGACACATATACTTTGAACTCTGAAATTTTGTAAGTCTGTTGCAATATAAAGTTGCACATATGCATCATAAAGCTTAGTTAATATTCCTCAAACTGTTGACATCACACTTTACTTTTGCAGTGCTTAATTCTTTCAATAAAACAATGATTTTTGCTCTGTAATGTGTTTTTAGCTTCACATTTTACTAGACTTTATATTGGCACAAGAGCAAGGTCGTACTTGAATGTATATCAAGTTACACTCCTCTTCACTCAGACAGGTTCACTCATTTAGACTTTGCACAGTCAGGTTTTGCAAGTTGTTTGATTATTATGCAACTCATGGCTTAGACCCCCTGCTTTAAAAAGTCAAACCACTTTCATTAAGGAATGACGACTTCATAAAGACCTTGCAAGTAGACGGCTTAACCACTAACGTTTTTTCTTTTTTAATAACTGTAACAATTAACATTTAGCTATTTTAATTGGTTTCCGCATTGCTTTCAGATACTCCTTATACAATCTGTATACCACTGTGTCCTGCTATGTGCCTATGTTCTAACCAAATGTGGAAAGACAAAACAGTCCCACAAAGAAAACTGGATATTTTATTTGTGCATTGCTACTCTGGTGGTGTTTACAGCCAAGAAGCTTGGTAAGGTAAGTTTCCATAAGCACCAATTTTCTCAGAGTCAGAGGAAGCCATAAACAGCTGTGCAGAATATGAAAAAGATCCTTGAAATGTTTTCAAAACCCAACAAAGTGTCAGATTTGGGGGAACCAGCAGATCATTTCCTCCTGTGGAAAGTGTCACGATAACACAAGTGTATGCTCTCATGCTCCCTGCCCTTCCTTTCCCAGACAGTATTGTGCTATGAGGGGAATCATTTTTTACTTTTTTTAAATCAAAATAAGATAACCAGTCACATACAACCAGATTTTTGAATTATCAAAAAAAAACAAAAAAACAATAATAATAAAAATCCCAATTGCAGCTCCAGTGATGGAAAAAAAAAGAAAAAAAAAAAAAAAGAGAAGTCTGTGGTGTCCTTTGAAGTGAGATTATATTCATGCATTACAAACATATTCATAATATATTATCATATATAATATATTTGCAATGAATCACATGAAGCTAATTTAAGACATTAACAGTAGCACACATGTTTTGCAAATGTTAATTTTAATATGACACATGTAAAACTATTCTGCATCATTACTTTTTGGACTGCACAGTAATCCTTTTCTATAACAGCTTCACTGTGATGATCTCACCTACAAAGTCCTCCCTTGACTTAATTACATGTACAGTGGACCAGTGGGTAAAAAAAACAAAAACAAACCTAACTTTAAAAGTACTAAAAGGAATTTAAAATTAAGTAGTAAGGCAGGTGTTTTCCAGTAATCTATATGGATGCATTACACATTCATAAAAACAAATGCACCACAGTGATAGTTTCACTGACTGAAGGACACCCTTAATAACCAAGAAGCTCTCAGGAAAATCTCTCTTTGAGATTCTTGCGACATAAAAGCAGACATCAAGCTCCTTGATCAGTTGCAATGGAAAGTATTTCATTCTTATTAATGTTTCATTCAGCTGGCACTGCGCTCTTCATCAGCCCTTCATTCAGTGCGAGTGACATGTAACACTACAGAAGGCCTCCTGATATAATCTCCATGACCACAAGGCCAGACACAGAAACTGTCACAAAGACCTCTTGAGTCAGCTCTTTAGTCTTTTGGCTGAGTGTTTTCCTCGGGGGGAAAAAAGTGCACATAGTGACCAAGCCCGGCATCCATCAGATGCTGACATTATGTGTAGTAGTCCAACTTGCTCTCTATCGTCTTGCAGCCTTTCACAGAGAAAACCCTCTCCGATTTGGGGAAATACACTAAATCTCTGGCCACCATGTCTGCCACGTCCTGGTTTGGCTTGATGTCTCTGGCTTTCATCTCGGCCATGGCGCACTGGACGACATGTCGGTACTCCAGAGGCAAGAAAGGGACGAAGAAGTCCACCAGGTTCTTGTCTATCAAATTCGTACGATAAAAGCCACCTGGAACAAAGATTTCCATGTGGAGCAGTTACTCATTTATAAAGGATAAAGGCAGAAATATTAGTGTCGTTTACACTCACTTTGGTTGTTGTTGAACACTGACAGAGAGAGCGATGTTTCCAGGTCTTTGAGCTCAATCTCTTCTCGATCTCGCCCTTGTTTCCAAAAATCTAACGCCGTCTGTATAATGCTCTCCCCTCCAGCATTGCTATGACAAAGATTAGAAACATAAGATTTAGCGTTCAACTGTCTGTTATCACTCACAGCCTTTATACCTTTATTTACTTCATTGTTGAGAATAAGTATAGCACACTCCTTATACTGCTAGGGATTTTTTTTTTTTTGTGGACAGCACTGCTCATATTCAGTTGATTTAATAACAACAATAAGACAATAAGAGCCCATTAGCCATTACCATCTCAGAAATTTCTTTCCAAATGTGTTTTTGAGGAGTAGGAGCATTGCTGTTCACATGCACTGTGCAACACCCACACAGATACAGAACCTGCTTAAAGTGACTTAGTCCTGTGGAAATGCATTCAACTTTTCACCTGAGAAAGATGAAGATTGATTTGCGGTAAGAAACTCCGTCCAGCTTGACATAGTAGTCCAGGTAGGGCTTGATGCTGTCGATCAAGCCGGGATGCATCTTGTCCATCTCGTCAAAAATGAACATGGAGCGTTCGCAGTTTGTGACGTTGCCTTTGATCCACTGCTGTAACTGAGACTGAGGAGAGAGAGGCAGCAGAATAAATCGGACCAAACAGAGCAAGACCACTGGGTTTCAATCAAAAGCTAAATGCGTGGCTCTCCGTACCTTATAGCATGCACTTTGACTTTGATGTGGAAAGTGAAGTGTGGATGTGAACACATGAACGAAGCTGCTGTCCATTCCCTCCTTGTAAATGTTTTCAGCAATCAGCTTACTGACAAAGTTCTTCCCTGTGCCCGTCCATCCGTGCAGGGAGAGCACCAGGGGCTTCTTCGGGTTCTCATTGCTCATGAATCCACTCACAGCTTTTAAGAGGATGCGTGAAGCGATGTGCTGCCCAAAGAGTTTGGTATCCAGGTCATTTCGGAGACCTACACAGCAGAATGTCAAAGGAATTAACGGCTAAATGTATGAGTCTAAAACTATTTTCTTGTATTCCTTAGCCACAGCAGTAGGGCTGCTAAAAGTCTCACCTTCTTCATTATCATAAACCATTTATAAGTTCATATGTTCATGTAGTTAGTGGAAAGATATATCAACAAGTACCTGACAGGACAGTACAAACTTTGTGCGCAAGAAAGAGTAACTGATCAAATGGTTAAAAAATAGAATGGATAAAAATTTGAATAAATACTTTAAAAAATTTTAATTAAGTGCACTGACAGCTTGGGTAACCTCCAATTCTCCATTGGATAAGCTGTGAAGGCAGATGGATAATTAAATTTGTATTATGGCCATAAAAGATCTGAATCAAACTCCAGCTGCAACTAGGTTTATGGTTCATGTGACCAAAGTACTTTAAGCTGCTCCCAGATCCTCATGCTGAGCAGCTTGGAGGATAAAAAAAAATGGCTAACATCGTGCCTTTTAGAAGAACTTCATTTAGAACACCCTCTTAATCATACACTGCACGGAGACGAGATGAGCAGTTAAGACTACCTAGAACAGTGGTGTCAAACATAAGCAAGCATTTCCATCATTTTACAGGCTGATAAAAAGTTAATGTAAACATTCACAGCACATTTATGCACATCTACAGTGAGCTCCTTCAGTCCTTTCACATTTAAAGAGGCAGCAGTGGCGGTCTTTGGCTTAGATCAGGTTACCCGATGGGTCTACATAATGTTCACTGCTGAAAGGTGATCTAAAAGTCTTTTACTCTGATAGTTAGCTTTCAGTTTCGAGGGTTAAAATAAGCCACACCGATAGCACTGTAACGTCGGCGCCGTACGATAACGTAACTAATTAACGTTACAGCTGCCTGCACTTTTAATCGAGGTCAAACAAACCATGTGCACAGAGCTATTATGTTTACACTGCACGGGGCACCTGCTCACCTGTCGCATTGAAGGCGATCCATTTGGAATCGCAGCTTTCGCGAAAGTAATTGTAGATAGTCCGCCCTAGAGTCGCGCCTATACCGATAACCACTGTTGTTGTG